CGGGGGGGGGACCCCATGTGCACCCCAGTACCGTCGGGCAGGTCGGGGTGAGCCAACAGCAGCTCCTTGCAGGTGGCCGCCGGGTTGGTTTTGGTGCCGTTGGGATGCTCGAGGAGGGCTTGCAGCTCCTGGCTCAGGGTGTCCAGCAGAGCCCAGACGGCCGTGTAATTCAGGTGGTTGGAGGGATAAATCAGGTGCTAAAAGAAAAAGAGGGGAGGGGAATATAACCAAGCTGCCGTTAGCTGCCCCCTCTTCTTTTGGCCAGGAGCAGCATCAGGTGCTCAGGGAGGGGATGGGACACGCAGGGGACAAGGACAAGCCAGGTGGGAGAGCGAGATTAGCCCTATCGGCTTGCCCTGAGTGCAAGGACCTTGGTCCTCATGCACAGAGGACCTCAGGAGCAGCGGGACATCGCTGTCAGCCCTTCTCCCCCAGGGTGGCACCCACCAAAGCGGGGGTGGAACTCCCCCCCACCTCCCCGCAGCATCGCCTCTCCACTGCACTCACCCGCAGCTCCTCCCTGGACAGCATCACCGCGGGTCCGCTGGGACCAGGGGGGCCGGTGAGACCCTGGGTGACAATGACAACGCCGGTGACGCTGGCTGCTGGCCACAAGCCCTCCGCCACCCCTGCAGCTCCTCCAACGGTGCCAGCAGCCGGCCGTCCCCCCGGCACAGCGCGGTGGGATCTCGCTGCCAGATTTGAGGGGGAGCAAGGGACCCAAACTGTGACATGAGGGACGTGAGTGGCTCCACTTACCGGAGGGCCCCGCACGCCCCTGGGTCCCGGCAGCCCCGGGAAGCCTTTCAGCCCCTGGGGAAGGAGGAGGTGGAGGAGGGAAGAAAGGCAAGGTGGAGGGATGCTGCCATGCCGAGCGGCACCCCAGGGCGCCCCGTGGGGTCACCCCACACCCCGGGGAGAGGGCATGAGGGGAGGATGCCCCACAGCCGGGCTGAGCCCGACTCCCAGCGCTCCCCCTTACTTACTTTGGGTCCGGACAAGCCCTGGAAGAGAAGGACAGGATCCAGCTAAGAGGGAGGGAGACGGGATCGCAGCCCCTTCCCAGCGCAACCCCCACGGGACCAAGAGCGAACCCCAAACCTGCCGGGAGGGCAAAGGACTCACCGGTGTCCCGGGGATGCCAGGGTGTCCCCGTGGGCCGGGGGGCCCAACGTCACCCTGCAAAGACACCAGAGGAGGTCAGGGCACTGCACAGGGCATCCCCCAGCCCCATGTCCTTCTATAACCCACGGATTTTGCATGGAAAAATGAGGAATTCACCCCAAATACTCATCCCGGTTCCTGCCACCCCGCTCCACCCTGCCCTTACCTGCTGTCCCTTGGGTCCCGGCCTCCCGGGGACACCGTGGGGTCCCAGCTTGCCCTAGGAGATGGGTCAGGGTGTCACACAGAGTGATTAGGGATCACGGGGAGGAAGAAAAAGAGCAAAACCCTTCACGCACCTTGAAGCCATCATCCCCTTGCTGGCCCAGGTCGCCCATGCTGCCCTTCTCGCCCTAGGAGAGAGTCAGGGAGAGCTTTGGTGGCAAAGAGGAGGGTAGAAATCCCCCAGGACACCTGCCCGGGACAGCGGGCTCTGTCCCAGAGGGTGGGCATTGGCAACCCCGCTCCAGGTACTCCAACAGTGGCATTTCAGCAGGTAGGCAACGGAGGCTTTGCTTGGTGCCTGACCCTGGTAGGGAACACCTGCTTGGGGATACTTCCCCAGGCCAAACATCACCTGGCCTCCAGCAAGCAGCTGGAAATGGGAAATTCCCAGTTATGGCTGGCTGCAAAATTTCTAAAAAAAAACCCCAAACCCAACAACCCATCCTTTTGATTTGGTAGAATTAACTGTACCCCTATTGCTGGGGAATGAGGCAGTGCGGTGGAACATCTGCCTCCCCTGCTCAGCTGCAAAGGCAAAACTGAAAGTATTTTATCCCAGACTAAAATAACATCCAAGAAAACCTCGGAAGTTCCCAGGAAACACTTGGAGAAAATAAAGAACATTTCTTGTGTGCTGAAATCTGGTGGAACAGGGGAAGAAAGCCCAGCGTGGCAGCTACCCGCAGTCTCCCCTCCGCCTGCTCCGGCCTCGCTGGGCGCCCTGGACTTGAGCTTCTGCCATTGCTCATTCAGCTCGCAATAAATTTAGAGCGTTATTTATCACCGGGGTTTAATTTTCCTGAAGGCTGCGAGCAACTACCCGCCGCCAGGGACTGCTTGTCGCTCTTATTTACAGCCGTATGGCTGACAGATGGGACCGGGAGGGTGTGCTTGGCTTCTCGGGCCAAGGTTGGATCCATCAGCTCATCAGTAACGGCACACAGGAGGTACGTGCCCGTGCTGAGTCAGCATCAATGCTGAGAGCAGGGGATGAAAAGACTGTACACGCTGCTGCTTGCAACTCCAGGAGGATGGAGAGGCTGGAAAAGGACCTGGTTTTGGAGAAAGTCTAAAGGACCCATCTCCCAGTGCCTGGGGTCAACCCCCAGAGAAGGATGCTGCAGCGAGCAGGGTTCAGGAAGAGGGGAGTAAGTGATGGCATCCAGCAAATTAAATGCTGTGCCCGGAGTGCCCGCCGTGCCTGGGGCTCACGTGCCTGGTACATGTCACCTACCTTGTGTCCTTTCGGTCCGGGGTCTCCTTTCACGCCCTTCAGCCCCGGGATGCCCTAAGAGAGAAACGATGCGGCACCGCGTCACCCTGCAGTGGGGCTGCTCCCGTCCCCTCCCCGGCAGGGACAGACCTCACTACAGCCGAGGTTGCTACCAGGATTCTGAGAATTTCAAGCAGTTTTAAAAACTTTGAGTTATTTCTCATCGAATCTTTGATTCTTGCTTTTGGGAGGATCCCTCAGCAAACCCCATTAAAAATGTGGTTCAGGTCCCTTGGCTGGTTGCAGAACATCCCGCTTTTTTTTTTTTATTATTATTTTTTTGCTGAAGTTTCCAAAGCTGGAATTTTTAATTTAAATACAGAAAAAAAACCAAACAACCCCACCACGTTTTCCAGTAATTAAAAAAAATACATATAAGCAGGTTTTTTGACCAGTGCTGGCTGCTGCGGTGCGCCAGTCCCTCCAGCCACGGCAGCTCACTGGGAACACGGGCTCAGCGCTCAGACACTGAACTGGAAGGGAAGAATTTGGCCTCTAGAACAACATATTGGAAATTACGTCATTTGCCCGACTGCACACACGCTGCTGGGTGCTTATGTGGGAGGAGAGAGCAAGATGAGATGGATGAAGGACGGATGGATGACACACCGAGGAACTTCGCTTGTTTTAAGTGGGTCTCTGCTTCGGTTACCCGCAGAGCTGGGTTGACCCGCGGGGCCGAACAGCGAGCAACCGGCACCCCAAAACCTTCAAGCTAATACTCACGTAGGGTCCTTGGGGGCCCTGGGGTCCTTCCAGCCCCTCGTCGCCTGGGTAGCCCTGAAACGCAAAAGCGAGAGACCCTGGGGGGTGGGCACAGCGGTGCGGCGCGAGAGCGGGGCAGGAGCGATTGACCCCCCTGTCCTCCCCTCGGGCTGAAAGGGACTGGGGACACAGAGCTCTCCAGCTACGCGCTGCCCCTATATTGACCCATCCTTTTCTAAGGCAGGGGCTCGGGCAGGTGGGAGCACCCCCGAGTTCCGAAGGTGCCAAAGCAGCCCTCACCCCAGCGGGGCAAAGCCGACCTACCTTGGGTCCCCGGGGACCTCTCGGGGGCCGGTGGCCTGCCTTGCCTCGCTTGCCCTGGGAGGGACAGATTAGAGACCCACGTGGAATTCCAGCCTGCCAGAAGCCCTAAGCCACCCCGCGTCGTGTCCCCCTCCCCCCTCTCTCGGGGATGCGGAGCCCCCCGCAAACCGCAGCCCCTCTACGAGACCTCCGCAGGCTCCAAGAATCAGCCCCGTGCCTCCCGCCACCCTTCACGGGGACAACGGTGCCGTTTACCCTTCTGCCAGCTTCTCCGGGGACCCCTTCTTCCCCTTCACGCCCCACATCGCCCTGGGGGAAGAAGAGATGGGAGATGGGGGTCACCAGCAGCCCGGTCACATCCCTCCCGAAAAGGGGCTGCTGCCTCCACGGAGATGGGGACAGAGCTCCCCAGTCGCTGTGGGACCATGGGGATGGACGCCAAGGCCATGGTGCAGAGCTGGCCAGTGAAAGGGATGTCCCTTGTCCCCCCCCAACCAAGGACACTTCAGCCAGGATGGGGACAGTCCCCACTGAGCTGGGGACACCTGTCAGCTCCTCACCCAAAAACCAGCCAAGGCAGCCCAAGGGCATCTAAGGGCTCTGTGTTTGCCCGGCACTGAAGCTGCCTTTACAGCGGAGAAAAATGCCCCCCGTCCTCCCCGGGGTGATTCCCAACTGATTTCTCTCTCCGAGGACCACAGTGGGGTTGACAAGCTCAGGCTTGGCTACCCCATGGCTGGTGCTCAGTCCCCCTTGGGTGCCATCCACAGAAGAGGATTTCGGAGGTACCTTTTCTCCTTTGCGACCTTTCCGCCCTTTAGGACCGGCTTGTCCCGGCGACCCCTAAAATCCCAAAGGGGAAGGAAACCCCTCCGTGAGGATGCTGCGCCAGGGACGGCCCCTCCCCGCCTCCCTCCCCGCTCTCCCCACGGCGCGCACAGGAGGATGCTCTGAGCTGACGTCTCCGTTGGGAGATTTTTGCCCCTCTCTGGAGCAGGTTGGGGTTTTTCAGCGGGAGCAGGAGATGCTGCAGCCGGGAGACCCCACCATCCCACTGCCTATACCAGGGAGAACCAGTATGGTTCCATCCCCATTCCTCACCGTTTGTCCCGGTTTTCCTGGCTTGCCCGGCTGCCCTTTCGCACCCGCCAGGCCCTAGGAAGGAAAACAAAAATCCACCCAACCCTGAAAAATCAGCTCCAGGGTTACTCACCGCAGCCCCAGGCAGGCTGGCAGAGTGGCACAGACCTGCGAGAAAAGTCGGAGGCGGAGAACCGGGGCAGCAGAGGAGCCCACTCACCTCGGTACCACTCAGCCCCGTAGCTCCCGCTTCGCCCGGTGGCCCGAGAAGACCCTGAGTTCATTTTGGGAACAAAACACGAGGCTGGTATCAGCTCCGGGTTATTTGGGGGAAGGCAGGAGGGCGAGAACAAAGCCGGCTGCCTCAGCCCAGGGTCTGCAATCGGGTTGTTCCCCGCAGGGACCTCCGGTGCCGGAGCCATGCCGAGGAGGGCCACCCTGTAGGGATGTCCCCTGCCCGTCCCCTCGGCGCAGAGAGGAGTTACCTGCCGGCCCGGCTCTCCCTTGGCACCCGCCGCTCCTCTGGCTCCTTCGTGCCCGGTGTAGCCCCGCAGCCCGGGGATGCCCGCCGGTCCCCGGGCACCCGCTGCGCCCTGCGGTGCACACAGACCGGGGCACCGGTTACAGCCCAGCCCCATCGGGAGCAGTGTCCGAGCAGCCGCCCCTCGAGGGGCTTCAACTACACCGAGCGATGGCTCTCGCCGTCTGCTCTGCAAATCCGTCCAGGGTTTATTCCGCATCCTGACCTCTCCCAGCAAAGGCAATGCCCAGTTGAGGATGTGTCTCGCCTGGGCAGAGCGGCACTGTAACATGGGAAAACTGGGATGCGAATGGGGTTTGTCCCGCAGCCGTGCAGGGCATCGGTAATACACCTGTGGCTCTGTGCGCGTCAGGGCCACGACCGCACAAACGCGTCTCGGGGCAGCGCAGGCGCTCCCGAACACAGGGTGGTTCCCGGAGCCCTCTGACCTTACGGCCACGGGTGGATTTGCTCTGTGAAAGCAGAAAAGGGGGAAGGCAAACGCCCTGGACCTGCCTCAGGCACACTCCAACAGCCGAGTGTTAACAGCACAACAGCCCCGAGGTACTTCTGCACAGGTTTTAAGAGCTGTATTTAAATGCTGTTACGGAGTTTTGGCTCCAGGGAAACCAAGAAAAGGATGACTCAGTTACAAAGCCATTGCAGGGCAGGACCCGTGAGACACAGCCCGGCACTCGGGCTGGCCGAGCTCATTTTTGTGGCCGTCCCCGGGGAGACACAGAGCCGCAACCCCAGGCTCTGCTTCTCCATCACAAGATGCCACCAAACCTCTTTCCCGGGGAAGTTTGGCAGGGGCAGGGTGGGCACTCACTGCTGGACCGGGCTTCCCACCATCTCCCTTGGCTCCATCGTCTCCAGCGAGTCCCTGCGGTGATGTCGGGGATTTAGAATGAGCCCGTCACCACCGTGTGCTTCGCGCTCGGGCCCTCTGCAGGTATTTTAAGCGTTCAGCGGCCAAGGCACGTGCCCTGGCAGCACCCAGGCACCGCAGGGGGAGCAAACATGATGCGATAGCAGGAACGGGTCGTCCACGAAGCAACCCTGGGTGCCAGACTGAAACGGTCTCATTTTTGGGGTGGCGGCATGTAATTACCTCCTGGGAATCAGTGCGAAGCTGTGAGGTGTTAAAACCCCCTCCTCCCTCCTTAACCCCCGTGGCCTGAGCAGTTAAGGGGCAATAAATCTGGCTTTGGTTTGTACTGGAAGTGGTGAAGCACTGGGGAAGCCTTTGGCGGCTCTAGGAGATCACAGGCATCAGTACCTCTAATCCTGCTGCACCAGTAGGTCCGTCCGTGCCTCGTGGCCCTGGATCTCCCTGAGGAAGAAGGGGAAACAGCTCTGTGCCCAGCAAACCCCGTCCTTGCCTCACTGACTTCCGATCTCAAGCAACAAGGCAAGGAGTGTCCCATGGCAGGTCCCCCAGGTCACCAGCCCGCCCGGGTCTGAGCCAGCTCCTCCACCACAGCCAACCCCACCACGTCCCCCATCAGCCAGAGACGGAAAGCAGAGCTTGGGAAAGGACCAGAAACGGGCATTTCACCCAGAGATGAAGGGTTGGAGCCATCACCCCACCATACCTTCACTCCCACGGGACCGTAAAGCCCAGGAAGACCTCGGCGACCCGTCCGACAAAAAAAAACCCATTCCCCCCCGCCAGGTCCGGGATCAGCCAAGACGGGAGGAGGGACACGAGCTGACTTACAAACCATCCTCTGGCTCCGCCAGGTCCCGCAGCTCCGGTGACACCGACCTGGCCCTGGGACACAGAGGGAGACGTGCTCAGCGGGGTCCCAGCCCGGCCAGGGGGCTGGAGCTTGGCCGGAGGCAGCATTAACCCGGACCGCCCGGCAAGTCCAAAACTGTCCTTCTGTGCCAACGAGACCCAATTTTGGCGTCGTGCCCACGAGACACACGACTCCCTAATTATGGAGATTTGCCAATTCCTAGCATTTTCTGCGGCTCCTGGGGCCCCAGGTTTCCCACCCAGGGGGTGACACCCCCCCCGCCACCCTTCCTGGGCACCCAGTACCCGACTGCCAGCCCACAGGGACACTGGGGGCCCGGCGGGCTGGGGCAGCCCCTCTGTACTTGCCAGCAAACCTTCTTGGCCCTTCTCTCCTTTATGGCCTTTTTCTCCAATTTCCCCCGTGGCGGCTCCCGGGCCGGGAGCTCCAGGAAGGCCCCTGGGGCCAGCGTCACCCTGCTCAGGGATGGAGATAGAGTTGCGACCGCAAAGGAGAAAAAAGAATAGCAATTAAATGAGCTTCTCTGTGGAGATGATGTGTTTCACCCTCTCGCTGGGTGCCGCAGACAGACGTTCACCCCGGGGCACTGAGGAGAGGTGCTGATGGGATTCGGATCTCAAGCAACAAGGCAAGGAGCGTCCCATGGCAGGTCCCCCAGGTCACCAGCCCGCCCGGGTCTGAGCCAGCTCCTCCACCACAGCCAACCCCACCACGTCCCCATCAGCCAGAGGCGGAAAGCAG